TCTAATGACTTGAAATGTACTTTTGTATATAAATGTGGTCAATAAACGCTTATATATTATTATTATTATTATTATTATTATTAATTATTATTATTATTATTATTATTATTATTATTATTATTATTATTATTATTATTATTATTATTATTATTATTATTATTATTATTATTATTATTATTAATTATTATTATTATTATTATTATTATTATTATTATTATTATTATTATTATTATTATTATTATTATTATTATTATTATTATTATTATTATTATTATTATTTTTTTTTTTTTTTTTCTCCTTCTCAGGGTTGTTGATAAATTGGGATTCTTACGGAATCAGTCAATTAATCAGGCTTTAAATTTTTTCAAGTGTGAGTTGTGCGACTTTTATTCATTGGCAGGTAAGTTCAGAGTTTTTCTCACAATACGACAAGTTTCTAGTAAAACTGACTTTTGCATTGTTGTGAAGATATTTTTGTCAGTGATGTTTATTTGTTTTAGGTACGACTCCAACTTCTTCGAAACCAGACCAGTAGCTGAAATTACTATGGGAATTATGGTAATACTTTTTAGTTTATGTATACTTTTATATTCTTCGGCCAATTCGAAGTATTTATTATTTTTTTCCTTTTCTGCTTTTTCTAGATTATGATCGTTGGGGTGCGTGATGTCGATGAAGAAGCCCACTTTCTCCTTTTTTCTTACAAAGACGATGTCAGGTCTATTGCTGGATACTGGTTTGTCGGTCTGTATTGGCGTATCCCAGTACAGAAGGTATGTATCACTTTCTAGGACCGGGAATGGAACATACTTAAAATATTGTTCAGCTTTTTCTTGAAAATTGCACATAACTGCCAGATGCTGATGAACTATGTTGGCCGTTAAGTTATGACGCTTTAGGTATTCAGTAGGCGCTAATACCGTGCATCCCGATACTATGTGCTCTATTGTTTCTGAGTGGCGACGACACATTCTGCACAAGTCGTTATCGAGTCGAACTCCGTGGATAATTTGGATATGATTTCGTGTTGCGATAACGTTGTCTTGAATCGCCACCAAAAATCCCTCAGTTTCCCCGAACAAGTATCCCTTTCTCAACCATTCAGTTGAGAATTCAATTTTTGATTGCAGAAGTTGATTGGGATACTTTCCATGAAGGGGCTTCGACAGCCATTCACTTTTTCGTATGTTGAGATCAGGAAGTGCTGAGCTTTCTTCTTTGAGTTTAACTGGAGAGTAGTTATCCAGCTGAGTTACGACTCGGTGAAGTGTAGAAGTTAAGGATTTATCTCGAAAGTATTTTTTTTGTTTATTTATTTGCTTTTGATAAAGTAACTTTATATCTAATAGTCCCCGGCCTCCCATTTTCCGTGGAATATAGAGCCTTTCTGTACAAGCTTTTGGATGGTGAATTAAATATTTTGTCATTTGCACACGGATCGATCGATTAAGAGCCTCTAACTCCGTGTTTGACCACCCGATCACGCCAAAGGAATATGACATTGTAGGAATTGCCCATGCATTAATTGCCCTAATTTTGTTTTTTGCTGTTAATTCAGTACGCAGTATTTGTTTCGTTCTTTTTTCGAGTGTTTCTGTAAGATGTTTTTTGGTCTCTTTCTTATTGATTACAAGTTGTTGCTCGTACCCCAGGTATTTATAACTCTCGCTATTTAGGTATTTAATGTTCTCGATTTCGATGTTTTCGTACTCTCTAGGCTTTCCACGGTGTGCTACTAATTTCGCGCATTTATCAAAGCCAAATTTCATTTTAATGTCACCGCTAAAGTTTTTGGTTAACTCAATTAGTCTATCTAGATCTTTTTCAGAGGAGGCGTATAATTTTAAATCATCTACATAAAACAGGTGTGCTATTATGTGACTTATTTCTCCCATTTTTAAATTGTATCCTATATTGGCTTTTTGCAGTGCTTTTGACAATGGATTGAGGCTTAAAATGAACCACAAAGGACTAAGAGAGTCACCTTGGAATATCCCGCTTTGAATCTGTATTTCATCTGTTTCTATTATTTCGTTGTTAAGTAAAAGATTAAGAGTTGTTCGCCAGGAATTTATACATTCACTTAGAAATCTAACATTATCTTCGTCTATTTTGTACAGTTTTAATACTTCTAGTAGCCAACTATGTGGTACAGAGTCAAACGCCTTTTGGTAATCAATCCATGCTACTGCGATATTACGCGATCTATGTTTGGCATCTTGTGTAACTACTGAGTCGATAAGAAGTTGTTCTTTGCACCCTTGTGTTTTCTTTCTGCATCCTTTTTATTCCTCTGTCATTATTATTATTATTATTATTATTATTATTATTATTATTATTATTATTATTATTATTATTATTATTATTATTATTATTATTATTATTATTATTATTATTATTATTATTATTATTATTATTATTATTATTATTATTATTATTATTATTATTATTATTATTATTATTATTATTATTATTATTAATTATTATTATTATTATTATTATTATTATTATTATTAATATTATTATTATTATTATTATTATTATTATTATTATTATTATTATTATTATTATTATTATTATTATTATTATTATTATTATTATTATTATTATTATTATTATTATTATTATTATTATTATTATTATTATTATTATTATTATTATTATTATTATTATTATTATTATTATTATTATTATTATTATTATTATTATTATTATTATTATTATTATTATTATTATTATTATTATTATTATTATTATTATTATTATTATTATTATTATTATTATTATTATTATTATTATTATTATTATTATTATTATTATTATTATTATTATTATTATTATTATTATTATTATTATTATTATTATTATTATTATTATTATTATTATTATTATTATTATTATTATTATTATTATTATTATTATTATTATTATTATTATTATTATTATTATTATTATTATTATTATTATTATTATTATTATTATTATTATTATTATTATTATTATTATTATTATTATTATTATTATTATTATTATTATTATTATTATTATTATTATTATTATTATTATTATTATTATTATTATTATTATTATTATTATTATTATTATTATTATTATTATTATTATTATTATTATTATTATTATTATTATTATTATTATTATTATTATTATTATTATTATTATTATTATTATTATTATTATTATTATTATTATTATTATTATTATTATTATTATTATTATTATTATTATTATTATTATTATTATTATTATTATTATTATTATTATTATTATTATTATTATTATTATTATTATTATTATTATTATTATTATTATTATTATTATTATTATTATTATTATTATTATTATTATTATTATTATTATTATTATTATTATTATTATTATTATTATTATTATTATTATTATTATTATTATTATTAATTATTATTATTATTATTATTATTATTATTATTATTATTATTATTATTATTATTATTATTATTATTATTATTAATTATTATTATTATTATTATTATTATTAT